GAGGGAAGGCTTGTGCCCCGAGGGCCTGGCCAAAGGCAGGCAGCAACCGGCCTTGCTGGAAAGGATTGGGCTGGTCATCTCTTGGGGGAGAAACCACACATTCTATTAAGCTGTTGTTTTTGAATAGCTGAGCTGGGCTGGGAAGATTGGAAAGACCCCACCTAGATGTCGAGGCTCCTCTCATTCCAGGCATATTACTCCTTGCTCTCAAGGCTTCTGTTAGCTCCCCCCAGCCTCTCAGCTCTGAGCCTGCTGGGTACTGCCCTTCACTCTGAGCTCCCTGAGGACAGGGGTAGGATCTTCCTGCTCACCGCCCGTTCTGGCACCCAGCATGGGTCTGGCACTTAGAAGGGGCTCTGTCACAGGAATAAATCAAATGGAGCTTGACACACCTCCTGTCTAATATTCAACCTCCCTCACTCACCATCCCTCCAGAATTGAAACTGCCTTCCACAAAGTTGAATCATGCTCCGAGGCAACTTCCACCCACAGAAGAACCATCCACCCTCTCTGCAGGCCTCCCCTCCTCTTCCTGGAAGCACACCCGGTGCAGAGGGGCCAGACCTTCCAGTTGCCCAAAGGCAGGACCAGGAAGAAGGCCCAAAGCTCAGAGGCGCTCCTCCTCCCCACTCTCCACTCCCTGCTCTGCCCCCTGAGGCATTTAGTTACTTACATCAATTTCCTATTACTTTAGCCAACAGCCAGGAGATCAATTAACTTGGAGTAAGTAGCCTCTTAGCTGACAGTAGTGGGGGACAGGGAGGGCGGAGTCAGAAACGACAAGGGAAGGAAGAGATGAGAGAGGAAACTAAGTCAGACGAAAGATGTGTGTGCGTGTATGTAAGTGTAGGAGAAGGGGGAAAGGCAGAGAGAGAGACCCCAGCCTAGGGTCCCCTGGATTCTTGCAACTGGCCCTATAAGAGGGGATGGAAAGAAGGGAAGGATAAAGCTGGGGGAAGTATCTAAGAACCTCTGGTTCGGGGGCGCCTCTCCTTCAAAGTTAACTCTTCCCTCTAGGCTCTCGTATCCCTCTGCAACCCACGCGTGCTCCCCTGACGGAGCCCTCCTTCACCCATGAAAGAGGGTCACGGTGACCCTCCGTCCGCTCTCTGTGCAAAAGTCTGGGCAGCCTTTCTCCTCGGCAGCCCCTCCACAACTCTCCCTAGCTGGAGGGGACAGGCCCAGGGAGTAACGCTGGGCCCTCCCAGGGACCCCCGGTCAGAGCTGCTCTGGCGTGGGGTGTGTGGGTGTGAGGGGTGTCAGCGAAGGGGCAGAGCCGACCCCGGGGGGGCTCCCTGCTAGTCCTGGCTCTCCCTGGGGCTGCCATCTGGCTTTGTTTGCCTTACGACGACCTCTCTTTCCCCTGCAGGTCCCAGGATCACCCACCCACACCCATCTCTTCTATTGGCATCCCACCCCTGTAAGTGCTCCAGCAGGTGTTTGTCCTCCTCCAGGACCTCACGGGCATTTCCGTGTCCCCCACTCCACTCCAAAGACCTGGAGGGCTCCGACAGGCCCCTCAGGGATTTCCGTCCCCCTACCCCTTGTCCCCCAACTCCATCCGCTTCTGAGGGAGAATACTATCCCCACTACACACCCACCCCTAGGATTTTCAGCCTCTGCCCTCCCCTTCCTTCTTTTCCAGGGTCCAGAAATGAATCCTGCTCCTCTCTCCCCCAGGCAGAGGCTCTGGGGCTCAGCTGGAGGAGGGAGTGGCATGGGGCAGACTGGGCAACCATCTGCCAGCCCCCTCCCCTCAGTGCTACTCAGCATTCCAGCCACATTGGCACTCCCACTGCCAGGGACAGATAAGGTGCAGCTGGAGGCTGGCACCAGCTGCAACTGTGCTCACTCCCCCCAGCGCCCTCCCAGACACCGGCAGACAGCTGCACCCCCAGGCCCCCTCCGTGGAGCCTCTGCCCTGCCTTGGTCTGGGTGGCATCGAGGTGCAGTGGGAGAGTGGAGCCTCAGACCCTGTTGTCCTGGCAACCAAGCACCCCACCACGAAGGGAAAGAGGTGGCCAGGGTCTTGTGGGTGGCTCTCTGGTTGCTCTTTTGGTAGCTCTGGAGAGAGCGCCTGAGACCTACCCAACCAGGCTGCCGTGGGGATAGTCTCACCATTACCCTCTGCCTCTTCAGTCCCAAAGAGTTTCTAACCAGTTCTTCCCTAATTTAGTCCAGGTTCCCCATATTCACCCCCACTCACCCAAGTTGACTCAGCCACAGCCGGGGGACAGACCCAGCAAACACTCTGTGTCCATCCGTGTATCCCCTGGGGTTGAGCTGGGCTCAGAAGCACATTTGGGGGAATGCTTTTCTCACCCGGGCAGCTGGGGTCTTTGAGGGACCAGAGTATGCCGTTCCTATGCCCCTTGGACCGTCTTCTGGGGCCACACACCCCTCACAGATCCTCACACATGGACTCACACACACGCCCTCACACACAACCTCTTACAGGTTGTGAAACCTGTAAAAGAGCTCACATGGCATCCACGCACACTATATTTTGCAAACACTGCGAGCCAGTTGGACCCCCAGTTAAGAACCTTTGTTCTTACGGTGGTAGAAGGTGCCAAGATGGTCTCCCCTAAGCTCTGACCAGACACAGATGTTTTCTGTCAGTGCTACATCTGCCTGGGGGCTAGATACATGTCTTTAGGTCTAGCAGAGAATGGCAAGGACGAAGAGGCAGATGTTCACTACGAGACCAGGGAGAGAAGAGAGAAAGGAGAGCATCAGGCAAGGAGTGTCTGCGCCCCTTAGAATCAGGGAGCTGGAGGGATGCCGGAGCCCTTCCCCGCTGGGGCGGCCAGACACAGACCACGACGTTCCCACCCGTTTGGACAGCCCTATGGGCAGAAGCAGTCGAGTTCCTGATGGGGGAAGGGACTGGCAGTGAGGTCAACCAGGGAAGGTTGAGGGAGGGACTGAGAGGTTTGGGTTCAGCCAGGTTAAGTGTCAGCTCTTTGACACGGACTCAGACAGCAACAAGCTGGTCTTCCCTGGCGGCACAGACCAAGAAGTGCCGGTGTTGGGCCTGCAGGCTCCCAGCATGTGTATCCCTCCCCAGCAGGAGGGGAAACTCAGATTACTCCAGAACTTTCTGAACCAATCATATCTGCATCTGACTACCTAGAACCATCCCCTCAGACAACACAGAACAATCACATTCCAGTGTCTTCATTTCCATAAACCAAACATGCCTTAGCATCACTACTTGGACTCTCTGGACAGAAACAAGTGGAGCACCTGAACACTCTCTATGGACACACCGTACCCCCACTTTATGCCTTAGCACCTTCCCAGGCTGAGTCAAGCAATTCCCTCCCTCCTCCAACACTACAGACCACCCAAGCTAATGGGTTCTCTCTGCCTTTCTGTGTGGTCCCTTCTGCTTGTGTGTGAGGCATGCTGGAGAGGAGGTGACCCTTGGCTTTCACTTCCACCTTCACCTACAGTTCTACTAGTCTTGGGAGCACAAATGGTGAGCCTGGGAACCCTTGTTGGTCTTAGGCTCTGGGGAATCTAGGACTCTCCTGTTTTGAGGAAGAGAAAAGGGAAGAAAGTGGTTCTTGCATCACATTAAACTCCCCATCAATTTGGCTCAGCAAGCAGGGTGGTCATCTAACATCTGTAGGACTGACAAAGGCTCATGAAACCAGTCTGCAGAACAGGGCTTTTACAGATCGCAAAGTCTTGTGTAACAGCAAGAAAAAATAAGCATGACTATGGCCCCAACCTTTCTACACAATGCATGCCCCCAGAATGCTAGGAGGAAGCAAGCACGGGAGGGAGAAAGTGGGCAGGGAGAAAGGGGAGGTTCTGAGAGTGGAGAATTGGGGCCAGGCGTGGAGAACAAGGGGCTCCTAGGAGAGGTTGGCTTTTCAAAGAGCAATGGCCAGAATTGGAAATAGATACAATGACTCCAGGGTCAACAGTGTTAACAAAAAGAGCATGCTGCATTGGGACTTAATGAGACATGCGTTCTAATCCTGAATCTGTCACTAACCAGCTTTGAGAGCTTGGGGACAACTCATTCTACCTCTCAGTTTGTGCATTTGCAACATAGAGATAATACTGCTGCTTATCCAGGGGATTGAAGGAGAGTCTAGAAAACATTCTGAAGAGTTACAAGCATCATCCTCTCATTTGGTGTTGTTTTTCATGCACGGCCCCAGGTCCTCTGGTCCCTTTCCAACCTCTGTCTGATTCTAACGCCTCAGGAACCTCTATGACTTGCTTAGGATCACCTGGTGCACGAAGTGCCAGTCAGTTCCCCTAACCCTCTCTGGGGCACTGGCTTTGAGGCAGCCCCACCTATGGAGGCTGGTGCGTCTATGGGGCACCTCCATTTAAAGAAGCGAAGGGAGCTTTCAGTTCAGCCATGACTGTGTGCCCCAAATCATCTCTCCTTCCTCAGACCCTGGCTCTGTGGCTCTTGATGGCAAGGGGGTAACCCAATTGTACAGTGTACATATGTGTATGGGGGCGGGGGTGGAGCGGCACAGACAGAATTACCTGTCTGGCTATTTAAGAAAAAAGCTTCCCTTACTTTTCATGTTTCACAGTGCTTTTCAAACTTCAATTCAAACCATGTAGGGATCTTGTTAAAAAGCAGATTCTGATTCAGTAGCTGGGGTGGTAAAGTCTGCATTTCTTTCCAGCTCACAGGTGATGGTCCTCAAACCACCTCCCCCAGCTCTGACACCTGTGGCCCAGAAGGTAAGTTGGAAGGGGTTGGGGCTATACCAGGCTGTGTACATCCATGTGTGTGTGTTGTGCGCTGTGGGCTCTCTTTGTTGCCATCATGGACACAGGCTGAGGCTTCAGCCCTCACACAGAGCAAATGCACCTCTACGCTGAACGAAACCCCTTCTGAGCCCCAGGGACACACAGCCTCCTCTGCCAGCAGAGCAAGCAGGATGAGAGGCCCACCTGCTCCTAGCCTCCTCTTCTGGGGGCCCGGCTGACTCACAGCCCACACCAGGGGACTCACTCACCACCTTGAAGTCTTCTGCACTGCAGACCTCCCCCCGGAATTGGCAGGAGAGCAGCATGTCTCGAATGTCATGCCCCGCGCGGTCATAGAACTCGCGCATGTTGAAGGGCTTGGGCTTGAAGCTGCGGAAGTTGGCCTTGTCCTGCAGTATCTCCAGCTGCTTTTCATCTGCCATCTGTGTGTCCGGTATCTCATACCTGGGGCCCGGGGGTGAGCAGTGTACGGATCAGCAAGACCTTCCATTTCTGTCTCCCTCCATTTGGCCTCCAGTGTCCCATACGCAACCTCGAGGGGATGGGGGAGGGCAGCATTCAGCCCTGGGGACCAGGCCTGGGTGTGGGCACAGAAGAGAGCAGGGCGCGTCCAGAGGGCCTGCCCCGTGGGATCTGAGATGACAGAAGGATCTGCAGTGACTGCCGAGGAGATGGGCACCTCAGCACAAGGGGCGTGAGGGCAGGGTGGCGGAGAGATCATGGCAGGAACTATGGTTTTTATACTATAGTCGCTACCCTTTAAAGATGGTCCATCCCCATCCCCCAAGTGAGGAGAAGATCAAGACACAGTGGCAGGAGGGTGGGCAAAGGTCACTCCAAAGAGGTTGGTGATGTCTCACAGCCCAGGCAGGGGAGGGGCAGAGCAGTTTTGGACTAGCTGGAATCAGAGACTGGGTGCCTTAATTGAGTGCTCAGCAGTACCCCAGTACCTTTGCCGTGAGTGGCAGATATGGCAGGGACTGGAGGGCAAGGTTGTCTGGGCTTCATGGGGTTAGATGGGGTGTTTGGGAGCTGGGGTGCAGGCAACTCCAGGAGCCCAGCTGGGGGATGGGTGGGAGCCACCCACCTGTTGTTGAGCAGGGCCAGGAGCTCCCCGGCATGATACAGATCATTCTTGGAGACTTGGCTAAAACGGAACTCGTTGAGGTTGCACAGCGTGACGGCAGGGAAGGTGAGCTGGGAGGCAGCCACCTCATCAAGCTTGGTGACGTGGTGGTAGTTGAAGTAGTACTGCACACGCTCGGTGCACACACACAGCAGCACAGCCAGAGAGCCCAGGAAGCACAGGGCCCAGAGCGCCCGCTTTAGTGACAGCCGCTCATAGGAAAAGATGTGGGCCAGGCCGTGCAGCGTGGAGCTGCTGGCGAAGGCCTGGATGCTCACCGGCTGGACGCCACCCACCTCTTCCTCCTCAGCCTTCAGTTCCATCCTGGCCAAGGGGATCCTGAGGGAGGGAAAAAGGAGGGAGTCTGTCATTATCCTGGGATGAAAGTACACACAGGGTCTCTCCAAATGTGTCCATTTGGAATCTCCATCTCTAGAGGTCACTGCCTCTGGGGCAGTAGGCTTCCCTGGTGTGCCAGCCCAGAGGCGGCTGGCCAAAGGACCACTCCCAGAAGAGGCTTCCTCCAAACGCGAGAACTGGGAGGTCAGCTCAGGCCAGGAGAATGTTCTCCCAGGGAAGCTTCCCCGGCAGGGGAGACCCCAGATATAGTCATCTGAGGGCGAAAGGAAAGTCCCAATGTTCCCACAGACAGGCACAGGAGTTCCCTCCAGATGTGGGGTCACTCTGGGACAGGAATGTCCACCCCATCCTGGAGACGAAGACTCCCCCAGATGGGCTGAATCCGGAGTCAGAAACTCCTGGTCAAGGGTGTCCCCAGGACTGCGCTCCCCGCCCCCCACTAAACCTGGACCAGAAACCCAGAGGGAGGCGGGGAGGGGGGCCCAGCCGGAGCGCTCACCTGCGGACATCTCTAGTTCTCATAACCCGCAAGCTGTATGTGTGTATGTTTGGGGTGGGGGGTGAGGGCAGCCCGAGATGGATGCATGGGGGGGCGGTTCCCTATGACAGAGAGCTGTCCCCGCCCCGGACGCAACAGCCCCCCCCCTCCAGTCCAGCTTCTCGACGCAGCCAGATCCCCTACTCGGCCCCCGCCCCCCTCCCCAGCCACCGAGCCACCCCAGGAGCTGAGAAAAGCAAGAGGGGAGAAAGTCCTGGCTTTAGGGGCCAAAGGCGGGGGTATCAGAGACCCACCTGAGGGGGGCTTCGGGAACCCAGCAGCCGGCGGCGGGTCCTGGGCGCGGGGCCGGACGCGGGCTCAGCGCCGAGCCGCGGAGGGGCGCATGGCCCGGAGCGGGAGCCGGCGGCCGCCGCGGCACGCCGCGCAGAGCCCTGCAGGGAGCGGCCCGCCCGGCCCGGCTCGGCTCGGCTCGGTCAGCCCGCCCGCCAGCGAGCACTCGCTGGCTCGCCTCAGCTCGGTCCGCCTGCGCTCGGCGCGGTGCGCGGTTCGCGGTTCGCGGTGCTCTCAGCCCCGGGATCTGCAGGGATCCATCGTCCGGCGGGGAGGCGGCGGGAGGAGAGACGAGGGGGAGGGGAGAGGGTGCGCGTGCGCGCCTACGAGTGTCTGCGAGGGTGTCTCCGGGCTGGTGTGCGCGCCCGGGCCCCCGGACCTGGGAACGGGACCCAGGGCTCCCCCTCTGCCTCACCCTCCTCCCGGCTGCTTTCGGCGGCGCTGCCTCCCCCTGGTCTCGGAGCCGTTTCCCTTCCTGCGAGGCCCTATGGCTTGTGTATGACTGTGTGTGGTGTGTCCGTGCGCGCGCGCGCGCGCGCGCGTGAGAGAGAAGGAGGGTGTCTGCCCCCAGCGTCCCCCTCCCCGCTCTGTCTCCTTCGGATCGATGCTCCTGACTCTTGCTCCTGCTTCTTCTGGTGGCACACACACGCGCGCTCACGCACGCGCGCGCGCACACACAAGCTCCGAGTCACACTTGACTGATCCAAGCACTTGCCCGTGTGGAGACACAGACACACGTACAGACCAGAGTCACACCACACCACTCACACCCACACCCGGCCCGCAGGACAGGCACTCAGGAGCTTACACATATTCACCTGTTCTTAGACCTGCGCCCTGCGTACATGTGATATGCACACACATACACATATAAACAAACAAAGCTTTGGCCACCCAAAACCCATCTTTGTAGCCTTAGGGAGGATGTTTGCAGACCCTCAATGCCAAATCTTTAAAGAAGGTACAGAGAAAAGGAAGGAGAAATAGGCAGAGGTCAAGGGAATTTAGGCAGAAGTCAAGAAACAAGGAAAGGGAGGAAGGGGGCGGGTGGGAAGGGTGGAGGGTTAGGTGGGTGGGGTGGGTAGGATAAGGAAGGGGTGGAAAGGGGAACTGTACTCAAGGGATGGACCAGAATTCTAAGGCACTGAGCCTAGGCCTGGGGGCTGCCCCTGGTAGCTCTCACCTCTCTCTTTCTTTCCGTCTCTCCTCCTCTCTGAGAGGCCTTGGGGGGCCCTCCCTATCCAATTAACAGAGAAGGAGCAATCAAAGGGAAGTTGTTAATTTGCTGATGCTCATTAGGGGCTCTTAGCACCGAGACTGTTGAGGTCTGATGGTGTCAGATGATGAGGAGGGGAGTGTGGGGAACCAGAATTCTATCTCTAGCAATTCCTTCACTCCATTTGTAGGCTGGCACAGCTCTGGGAGAAGGGAGGTGAGAGGTGTGTTCTCAAGGCTTTAAGAACAAGAAGAGGGAAAAAAAAAAATAAAGAAAAAAATAGTAAGAACGAGAAGGGGCTGTCACGGTTGGATGAGAAGCTGTGAGGGGTTGGGGGCAGGAGGCGCATGCGAGGCCAGGCAGGGAGCTGGAGATCCCTAGAGGAAGTGCAGGCTTAGGATTGTGGAGGAGGAAGAGTGGGATCCGTTTACTAGGGGCCTGGCTTTGGCGCTGCCAAAAGGAAGGAAGGATTTGGGGTTCCGGTCTTGAGTTGGGGAGCTGTCCAGCAGCACCAGGCGGCCCCAGAGGGCTGCCATGTCCCTGGGCAGCCAGTGGGTGGCAGCACTCTTCCAGACACGTAGAATCAACCCAAGGAGGCATTTTGGAGTGGGAATACCGCTTGGGAGGGCTCCAGACAGAGACCCACGGAAAAACTGAGCTGAGTCTGATTCCTGAATTCCAGGTGTCCTCAGGTGGATGGGAGGACCATCTTGAAGCATCTGTAATTCCCCTAACTCCCCACCCTCGCAGACTGAGTGACACATGGAGTTTCTTGAAATGGCTGCAAATTACTTCAGTCACCTGGGATGTTACTGAGGGAGCAGCGGGGGTGGAAGTAAGGTGATGAGGTGAGGTGGAGGCAGGCAAGGACTGATCAAGGCCAACGAGCAGCCTCAGGAGGAGTCTGGGGGAAGTCAGGATGTGAGTCAGGGACTCTCAGCTTCCAGACCTGGCCCTGCCTTTTATTAGCATGGGCAGGTCCCCTGGCCTCTCTGATCTCAGTTTCCTCATCTGTGAGACATAAATAATGGCCCTGGCTGGTGTGGCTCAGTGGAGTGAGCGCCAGCCTGAGAACCAAAGGGTCGCCTGTTCAATTCCCAGTCAGTGCACATGCCTGGGTTGTGGGCCAGGCCCCCAGTTGGGGGTGTGCGAGAGGCAACTGATCAATTTGCACATTGATGTTTCTCTCCCTCTCTTTCTCCTTCCCTTCCCTCTCTCTCAAAATAAAGAAATAAAATCTTTTTTTTTAAAGGGAGAACAATATTTATTTCATAGAATTTCTAAGGATTACATGAGCTAACGCATAGAAAGTGCTTGGCACATTAGCTTCTCCTGAGTAAATCCTCAATAAGTAATAACTAATACTAGGGTTAGTATTTGGGTCCAGTGGTAGAGCCACCAGTGCAGCTAAATCAGGGCAGAATCTGACAGTGGTTCAATCCAGACTGCACATTTGAATCAATTGGTGAGCTTTTTAAAATGCTGATGCCGTGCCCCATTTTAGACCAATTAAATCAGAATCTGGGGGATGGGGCCCCGATTTCCCAACTTTTCAAGATCTTTAATATACAGCAGCCAGTCTGGAGAAATTTTGGTCTTCAGAATCCATGGGGTCTGAATCAAGGCTTCAGCATGATTCCCCTGCTTTAGAAGTTCTTTCTTATGGAAAACGTAAGTTCCTCATGCCGTTGATTCCTCTTCATCTGAGGCGAGATCGATCCCTGAACACATCCCCCCATCCCTGCGCTGTACATTTCAGCAAACCCCCAATGAGGCTCTTCTAGCGTTAAGCCCCAGGATTGGCCCTGTGGACATGGTAAGGAGTGGCATAGCCTTTGCCTTCAAAATTTCCTAGTGTCAAAGGAAAGGCGAACATGTTGACGACTGACTTTAGTACAAAGGCCAAGAGTGAAACTGAGGGATGGGACAGAGCTGCCAGCATAGAGTGGCAGAGGGCAAGTCCAACTGACTGGGGTTTGGGGAGCAGGGATGAGGAAAGCGGAAGGTGGCTTCAGGAAGATGACACTTGAGAGATCCAAGAACTGTGATTTGTGTCCCACTGCTCCTTTCTGCTTTTTCAGGCCCACTTACCTCTTGTCCAGACGGTGATAGATTCTAGCTCCTTCAGCTTCTGCCCCAGCTTCTTGTGCACACTTCCCTCTTCCCTGGCGCCTGCAGTTCCTATGCCCCAGTATCTTTTCTCTTTGGAGGCTGAGAAAGAAAGAGGCCTGGACATAGTCCTCTCTCCACTGGCATGAGGCCTCTGGCCAGGACCCATCCAGGGCGTTGGCATCGTGCTGACCCGGATTCAAATTCCACCTCCATCACACCATCGCTCCACAATCCTGGGCAAGTTACTTAACCTGTCTGAGCCTCACTTTCTCCACAAACCATAAAACCTGACTAATGCCCACAGTGATGAGACATGTGTGCCAAGTAAGCAGTGGGGGTTCCATCAATAGTGGTGAGTATTATTTTCATCCCTGAAAGGCTGATGGGGGTAAATTCCCCAGGGACACTTTTCTTGCAGATGGCTCCATCTGCACTAGGTTCAGAAGCACCTCCAGCCTCTCAGAGACAGGGAGGAGGAAGGAGGGCAGAGTGGGGCGGCGAGGCCCCCCGGGACTCCCAGGCAGCTCTTCTCCGCTCCCCCATGCGTGAAATCACAGGCGCCCCAATCTGTCTACATCCACTTCATCTGCTAGCTCAGCAAATGCAGAGACAATTAAGGAGTTAATTAGCAGGCGGGTGGGAAGGGGCTGTGGACCCGAGGCTGAGGGGACCCATCAGCACACTCCTCCCCACCCCTCCAGGCTTCATGTTGAACCTGTGACCCTCATCTTCTCCCTGTTTTCTGTTCCAAATGCTCCTCTTACCCTCCTCCCTTGTTTCTCTGCTACCCTTGCCCTTTCCCCCCAACCTGTGCTGGCCTCCTCTTCCCCCTTCCTCTCTCTAATCTCTCTCCTTCCTCACTTAGCTGCCCTCCCTTCTCCCGCCAAGTCACTGCCTTCTCCATCCTTCAGGGGCTAACCCTTTCCCCTCCCCACATCCTCCCATGTTCTCTCCTCATTCTGGTCCCTCTTCATTCCCCTTCTTCCCCCATCCCTCCCTCCACCTCCAACTTAATGGGGGTCTCAGAAAATGTGACTTGGTCGCTGGTTCATGAGTATGGGCTTCGCCCTTCCCTACAGGAAGCAGCAGGGCCCAGGTTGCCTGCCAGGTTGCTCCGCGGCCCTGAGAGGGGCTCCGGCCCTCCCCCTCTTCCAGCACCCCTCCTTCCTGGCTCTCTGGGTGTCTCCTCTGCCAGCGCATCCGCATCCAGGGCACTCGCACCCCATGCTGCCGCCGCCGCCTCTCTCAGGGCCGTGGCAGTTGACCCGCGCATCCAGGACCATGCCGGACCCTTCTTTTCCCTCCCTTCCTTTGGCAGAGGGGTGGCAGATGGCCCCCTTTCTTTCATCACATATCCCAATTTGTGTGTCATCCTGTCATTTGGGGACTCACAGCTTTAGAAGGAAGGGATGATTAAAGAGAAAAACACGGAGAGATCAAGACAGTGAGGCACAGAGCAAAGAGAGAGGTAGGGATACTGGGGCCAAGGCAGAGATTAAAAGGGCAGATGTCTGGGAGGGAGGGGCAGAGGAAGGAAGTGGAGAAGGGCGAGGAGGGGGTGAGAGATTGAGCCAAGAGAGAAAGGGTACAGAGGGATGTAGAAATAGAGACTTCGAGATAGGGAACAGAGCTAAGGTCCCTCCCTCCTTTACGATTCCAGGTCTTTGAGAAGTAGCGTG